CACTTTCACACTCATGTATGGGGGCATCATTACTCATTCCTTCACTACTTGTAAACTGCACCTTAAGCAGTCTGGCAAAGTCCCCCAACCAGTGTTGTAAATTATCCCTGAAAAGCCCTGAGGGGAGTGGATAATAAGATATTTACAATTTACAATTACAGTCTCAAAGCTGGAAAAACCAACGTCACTGTCAAAAGCCCAGGATTGTTCGCTTGTGAGACAATCACATTTGCTGAACCGTTCTCTGGTGGAAAGCAAGTAAAAGTCTTTGCTTCCTTTGGTCACTCGGTTAACAACAAGGCCCGTGGTAATGGTGCTGCTATTTGGGTGGTATCGGCAGATAGCACTCAATTCCGCGCTTGTATCTACGAGTACAGCAACGGCTCAAATTCAACGGCTGAGATAAACTGGATTGCCCTACAATCTGCTCCCAAAGGAGCACTACTAGGAACCACTTCCTTGGACTCTTGGACTACCGGAACAGAATGTAAAAAGATCGACTTTCCTCAGGTACGTTCAATTATGCTATGAACACCTACAAGGTGCCCATGCAGGATTAATCTTAAAAAGGCAGAAACTGGTGAGTCACTACGTAAGGTATAGTCAGAAGATGTAACTCACGACCGCAAATGCGATTTCTCTCAAGGAACTTATAAAAACTGTTCAATCAATGAATTTAGACAGAAAATTGACGTAACTTAAGTTGAAAGTTCAATTACCTACAGTTAGATACATGCTATTATGCACGGACTTCATGATTTAACGGGAAATGACGATAAAGGTCTAAAAGGTGAATCGTTAATTTGTTTTCAGAACGATTAATACAATGAAACAGCTTACTCAGTTTGTACTGTGAACTTTTGTTACGCGGCTCTCTCATTGTCTTCCTGTATTTTGTTTGTCTGTTTTTGTTTTTATTTTTTGGAATATGCAGTATTATAACTAAGACAGATGTCCACTCCATGACCCACACTAGCCCAGCCATGCATATTATCACCTACCCCCGCATCCCCCCTCCTCCACGACCTCAAACCCTCTCACTCTTTTTATCCGTATTTGATTATTACATTCCCATATATACGAGTCTAAAAGCAATAAAGCATTGGCAATAGATGTCAGTTCTTACGCTCGCCGCCGTAAATCTATTTAGAGGATCTTTCATGAAATATAATCATTAAACACGGTACACAAACTGAAATGTAATTATTTAGGAAAGATAAAAGATATAACTTGTATTTTTGGCCAAATTTGTTTTGTAATTTAAATAACTTTACACAAAGTAATTGTATTTTACGATAGCTCGTACTGTTTGTAAAATATTTTTGTCCTTTTCTCCCGGCTTCAATGTGAGTGTCTTCTTCCAAAAGAAGTTTTTTCTGTATGTGGGTGAAAGTCCGCGTAATATTATGAATCACGCGTAAACAAATCAGAAAGATTCTTTTTGTTGTTGTTGCAGTTCTGCTGTTGTTGTCGTACAGAGATGAAGCACTGTTTACTAGATTACTCGATTTAACCTAAGGCACGGTCCCTGATTATATTTTTTGGTGTTTAAAGCGTGATGAATAAGTTGTAAATTTCTTTTGTCTTTTTTTTCAGCGTCCTTAACTCATTCATCTTTTTTCTTTCCTTATTTAAAGCGTTTTGCGACTCCTCCAATGGTACTTGCGACTCCTAGTCACCAGTTTCCTGAGAGACCTCAAGACGCCACGGCAGTGTGGGTGGAGGAGTTGACAGAAGACAGTTTTAAAATCTGTCTTAGGGAAGTGAAAATTTTCGACGGACTTCACAAAGGCATTACTATTGTAAGCAGAGTTAAAATACTTTTTTAAAGCCCTGTATCCAAGTGCATCGACTTTTCTTAGCTACACATATACTGTATTGTATACAAATTTACTAGAATACTTGCAAAAATATATAGTCGAGCCAACCATACATTTCTAGTTTCGAAATATCATTCCTCGCAGTTATTCCTTTATTAGTGCCTAAACTACATAAAAAAAGGACAAATATGTGTATAAAATGCCTACAGTTATAAGAAAGTAATTGATTCTATTAGAACCACCCTCAGGACATTTGGTGAAAAAGCAAACAAAACCAAATTAAAAGAAACAAAAACTGTCAGTGCAATCAAGTCTCTGTTACCATGTGTACATGAGTAAAGGTACTCAAATATATACTTAGGTTATCGGCTCAGTATTCGTTTTGTTAAATTATAATCGGGTTCCTACTTGAGTAGAACTTCTATAGGGACTGGTCCCATTCCTTGCATAACTGACTGAATAACCTTAAATGTCGTTTTTTTTTTTCGTTGTTGTAGAACTGGATGGCTTGTACAAACCTTCGAGTCGATAACTTCACTTTATCTAACATTCTTGTGTTTACGAGCAACAACTTGCCATCTCCACAGATTGACTATGCCTTTTGCCAGGTAAAGTGATACTCTTATTACTTACTTACTTAATTAATTAACTGATTACTTAGTTAATTACTGTATTTATTT